CCCCCCCCCCACCCCCCCCGTCGCAAAAAAAATTTCGGTCAGTGTACCATTTTAGGGGTCAAAAAAATTTTCCGGACTATCAATATTTTTCGGAACATACAAAAAAATTTCGAAAAATCACAAAATTTGCCAAGAAATTGACTTAATTTTAGACAAAATTTACAGAATTTGTCACATTTTTTTTATTGCAAGCCAAAATTGCCCGACTGTTGATCGAATATTGCCCGACTGCCCAAAAAACTGGGGGGGCTGCCGCCCCCCGCCCCCCCGCCCGGTACGCCTATGCATCTCACCATGTGAAGCCCTCAACCAGAGGAAACTCAAGACGACCTTACCTGAACCAGATCTCCCAAGAGTTATATATGATGATATACAAAGAAAGATGGAAAGAAGAGACGCTGAACAGAAGTCGAAGCAGAAGTTGTATGCTGACAACAAATCACGTGCAAGAGAAAGTTCGCTTAGCCCTGGAATGGTAGTCTTGGTGAAGCAACCTAAGCAAAACAAGTTGAGTACGCTATTTGACCCAAACCCATTTGTGGTGAAAGAGAAGAAAGGGACTATGGTGACAGCTAGTAATGATCTCAAGACCGTGACGCGAAACTCATCCCAGTTTAAAGTTATCCCACCAGAGCTGAATCCTGAAAGAAACCAAGAAAAGCAAGGAAACGAAGCACAAACTGAGAATCCACCATCTGTAGCTAATCCCAATCAAGATGAAATAACCGAATCGTTAAGAAGATCAAATCGACAAAGAAGACAACCCGCAAGATTCACGGACTATGTCACAACCATCAATTAAGGATGTTTGATGATAGATAAGTATATATAACTAGATAACAATAATAACATAGATGATTTAGACAATTTATTTGAACAATCAAAGATCGAGGAAAAGACAAAAAAAAATTATTCTACCGTTTGATTAGTTTGAACTTAAGATATGTGGACAATCTTGAGAGAAATATTTAAAACTTCTAGGCATTATTAGGTTTACTTTAAATTAGAGAAAAGATACTTTTTAACTAGTGACAAGGAGGGATGTAATGTCCTCATTAATATTCCATGTTACCTTATTAATATTCTAATTAGTATCCAATATAGTTGTATGTAAATAATCGTTAGTTTAGTAATAAAGGTTAGTTCTTCTACAGCAGGCGAAGGGTCACTATAGTTACCATCTGTAATCTCTCCACATTCAGTAAAGTATGGTCCCTTTTTAAGATGCCCCCCCCCCCACTGGCGAATTTTAAAAAGGCTCTGGCTTAAAGGAAACAACTTTTAACATTTTATCACGAGAAATTGAAAAAACAGGGACAGTCCGGAAAGGACTTAGTGCATGAAAAGCCATGTACATCAAATTTTGGCAGTTCATAACGCACATTTTAAACTTGCTTTCTATGAATTAGTATCGGGTTTTAAGGCTAGGTTAATGCCCCAAAGGGCCCTCTCCCCCCCCCCCCAAAGCATCCAATAATTATGGAAATAATACTGAAGTAGTACAGGTAAACTAAACTTAATATCCAAAAAGCTGCAAAGTTCAATCATCCTAGACAGAAATTTAACTAATAAAAATGCTTCAACAGGGATATTCACTTTCAATACATGGTAGCTGCAGTCATAGTTATATTGTGCACTCCTTTATGTCGAATACAATTAGATGCAATATTGTTTATATACCCATTTTCTCGTTCTTAATACCCTTCCTGATTTCAATAATGCGATGCGTTGACTTTCCTTGTCCAAATGTAAACAGATTCCAGCAATGATTCTAGCATATTTTCAATGACCCGGAAAACAACTGGGTCAATGCACAAAGTACAGAAATAACAAAACTTAAACTTAAATACGATGCACTGTATCAAACAAATTTCAACCCACACCTTTTAAACAGGAACTTTTTAGTACTTTGTAAACTGACCATTTTACTATTTCATGACTTTTTACTAATCTCTTTTACAAATTTTTATATACAATAGAATTTAGTATACTAATACATGCAATATATGTGAGTGGTTCAAGTAAAAACGTTATGTACAGCATACGGAAACGGCGAATGACTTTTTTTTAACATATGTATTAGTTGAAATTTATGTTGGTTATAAAATAGTAAACAAGTCATTTTCCGTGTGCTGTACAAAACGTTTCGTTTTTACTTGAACCACTCACGTATACTGAATGTGGACAGAGGCACTCGGTACTGATAGGATTCCACGTTATTCTATACTTCCTTCCGATTTCCGGACTTGCTTTAATATAAAAAGGAAGCACGGTAGACGTTTTCTTTCATCGTCACTAAAACTGGCAAATTTTCGTGCGTCACAGCTGAAGAAATCACGAACTTCAGGATATGAAGGCGCGCGAGATCAGACCGCATTTGCGTAAACAGCTCAACTTTAATGAATTGTGATCTGGAATTGAAGATTCAATTATTTTATTGCAGATCAGCAAATACAATATACATAAAAGTCGTACATAATTACATAACTGCGCTTGGCGAAAGAGATTATCTTCCAGAAGAAAATCTATAGCTGTGTATAAAATAAACAAATTTCCATACTCACTATAACGTTTTCATGCTGATCCTGTGACGAAATATCGCTCACTTCAAAGAAATGTTAAATGACTCATGCATCTGAAGTGCGTCACCAACACTCATCAGTCTTCAAAAGAAGGTGAAAGGTTAAGGAAGCAATTAATTACCATTCGCACATTTATCAGCTTGCGTTTTCCTGAAAAATTTATGACATCAACCCAGGAATATGTGCTCCCTTTATAGCTGTAGTTACGCTAGAAAGTTTGAAAAATCTATCCTTTTCGAAAGATCTTTTCCTTCTCCTTGACATGATATATAAAATATATTCTTTTTGACATTGTTTTTGATAACTGTAAGGATGCTGTTTGAACTGCATGCACAGTATAGTCCAAGTAATCTACAATCAGATACAATTTCTCAGAAAACTTCAAGAATTACCAGATTTATTACAACTGAACGAAATTACTAGCAGGTTCGGAGCTACGAGGATGCATTGCGCCCAGTTCGCAGTCGGTACGGCGAGAGTTAATTTAAGTGAGCCAAATTTTGCTTGTCACACTGAATTAAGACACGCTTCAACGGACTCGCATCAAAATATATGCAGCAAGGCCATGTAGTATTGCAGTTGACATTAGAACAGACCAACTGTTAACACATTTAACAGGTACAATCGGTAGCATGTAATTTGAGCAATTTGATATAAGAAATAACTAGTGAAGACTGACTATTCAATTATGCCTCATGGACGATTGGACGATATCTTCGAGACGATATGATCTTCGGAACTCAAACGGCTGGCGCGGATGATTTAAATGCGTGGGTGCCCAGCCTAGCGCCAAAGAGCTGTATTGTTGAACTCGAATAAATTAAACGAAATCCAGAAAAAACTCAGTCAAAACAGGCAAGTACCTTTATATAATAACAATTTTAAGAGCGAATTAATTCAAGGGTGCAAACACAAAATAAACTGAAAAGTCACTGCCGTCAAGTTAGTGACAATGCAATGCTCGTATGCAGTCCCATTAACGACGTTGTAAAATATAGCATAGACTGAACTCGTCAGAAGATGGAGATTATGTAGGCCGCAAAAATGTGCCTTGTCCTTACTGCCTTGTCCGGAAATGGATTGGAAGTGGTCGGTAAATTGATCGGTAAATTGATTGGTAAAATTGAGTTGGTCGATAAAGCGATGGGACCGGTGGAGGAATGGTTCGGTACGACGGACATCACGGACTTAATCCGTGATTTGTGAAACATAGACTCACTCCTGACTCGTACCCAGTCGTCAATTATGAGTTATACTTTTCCATCCTCATTTCAGGGACTGGGTACGAGTCAGGATAATAGAGTTCACTGGTCAGGACCTCAGGGCTTAGTTCAATGGCCACTGATGACTCACTCAGGCAGCGATTTGTGAACACGGACTAAGTCCATGGTTTGTAAAACACGGGCTGAGTCCGTGATTTGGAAACTACATGAGTCGAGTCCGTGCTTTGTAAAACATGAGCCAAGTCCTTGATTTGCAAAGCATGGACTGAGTCCTTGATTTGTAAACACGGGCTAAGTCCTTGATTTGTAAAACACGGGCTGAATCCTTGGCTTGTAAAACACAAGCGGTGTCCTATAGGTTTTTCCAGTCCGGAATCTTTCTGACGTAAATTAATCGTTCAGATAACAGCTACCCTGAGGAAAATGATAAATTGAGTTTCACCCTAGTCTCTTGTTCAGGAATAAGGAACACCATATCAGTTATGCCGTCAAACAAATCCCCCGGCAAAGACAAAGTGAGTATGCGTGTCATCAAACACAGCTTATTACCCGGCTGTTATTCGACGTCGTCCTCTTTCCCTAAAGCATGGAAAGCGGACGAAGCTAGTTATCCCTTTGTCAAAAGATGCATGGAAACTACGAGGAAGCATCAAATAACCGCCCACTTTCTCTCCTAATTATCTTTCTTTCGAAAATTTGTGAAAAAGTCGCGACGCCTTAAATCAATTTGGTTCATATCTAATGAAGAACAAACTAAAATTGTCAACCCACCAAAACGGGAACAAGAAACATCACCGTCACGTGAAACATTGAATCTTTTGACCGGAGATATCATTCTAAAGACTATGGACGGTATGGACGAGTAATTAGTTACCGCACTGATCCTGTTAGAGTTATAAAACGGCCTTCGACAGTGTAAATCATACTTTTCTCCTTAGAAAACTTAGCCGTCGGGGCTTCTCCAAGCGTTGTAAAATAAAAGGTTTGGGAGCTACCTGACCGGAAGAACACAGAAAGTCAGTATTGGATCACTGTTGTTTCTTATGGTGTCACACAGGGTACAATTTTATCACCTTTTGGGTGCAATTTTATCACCTTGGTGAAAGTTTAGGACTACCAAATGATGAAGGGAAAGAAGGTGTTGTAAACGAAACAAGACTGAAACATATTGACGGAGACCGCGATGCAGAATCTGTCAGGGAAGAGATACATGCCGTAAAGATGCACAATAACATTTTGGAACAACAGCAACATCAGGTTCAAACACAAGAAGTAAGTAAACAAAAACAAAATTCACCGTTTTTATACTAACGATTTGCCCTCATCAGTCCACCGCAGTAAACTTGAATCGTACGTGGGCGATTCCAACTCGGAGACATTCCGAGTACTATATTTTGCTGTGGCCGACGTGGACGTTTAAAGCAACAACTGCACGGAGCATGCTAGACCTTTATTTGGTTGCTACTTGCAATTGCTAATCGTTGTTCTTACTCTGAGAATGATCGAATCGCTTATTAACCCGGAGAAAGACAATACATGATGATTGGTTCACGGCAAAACCTACTAACAACGTCCCGAAGATGTGACCATAAATTTCCTCAACGAGACTATTATCCATGACCATGTTCCTTTTGCCAAAGATCTAGGAGTGACACTCGACACTTATTTGACAAACGACCAACACATTAGTCATTACCAACCTGATTTCCTCACTATGCATGTGAATTCCCTGTGCCAAATAAACCGACAAAACCGATTGGATTAGCCGGGCCGAATTTAGAGTACCGTTTTGGTACGTTGGGCCCAGTCTGAAATACGAAATGGATTTAGAGTGCCGTTTATGGTATGGTTGGATTTAGAGTACCGTTTCTACGTATAGGGCCCAGTCTGAAATACGAAATGAACAGTTGGAAACTATACTAGGAATAAAACCAAGAAAATATTTCGATTTGTCCTTAAGTGCGTCACCAAGTTTAGTCGTTTCCGTTATACTACTTTCACACTATAAACGTCTAAGACGTCCAAGGCCTCTGTTTAGTAAGTGGCGAGGGGTGGTAGCGGGACATTGAATGCTTGTATAGTAGGAATATGAATATTTTGGGTTAGGAATATGAATATTTATAGTCAGGAATATGAAGTATTTGAAACGAAATTGGAATGTGTATTTGCCTCGCCTCCCCGGTTGGTTCTCATACCTTATCTGTCAATTGAAATATTTGTATACTGGTTATTGTCACGGCGTTACAATGTTTATTTGCCTAACTGTTGTGGTTCTTTTATTGTCCAACGATCGATTGTTACTTTTTATATCATATTTCTAGAAGAAAGTCTTTTATTCAACTGACTGATTTCCAATATATAATACGCATTTTTAATATTTTTGATAAAACACGGACTGAGTCCGTGTTTTGTAACAGCGGACTGCGTTTTGTAAAAAGCGGGCCCAGTTCTGGTTAGTTTACAAATCGTTGAATCGGTCCATGTTTCCCACAGCTGAGTCCATTTTATCTGAGTCCATTTTATCTGAGTCCAGTCCATGTTTTACAACATCACTGATAATCACTCAATCTGCCATGCATAATCAGTACATTGTTCGGTATACAAGTTATTTTCGTTGTTACCTGGAAAGTTCTCTCATTCGGACTATAAGTCGCGCGTTTGGGGTTTAAAATGGCAGTTACCTTAGCTCCACCTGTTTAGAAAACAACATTTGCGATTAGATAAATGATTGATTGCATTTTTGCAGTTTATGACACAACTGTGAGCTTTTCAGTAAAAACAGCGAGAAAGAGGGCGAGAAAAGTGCATCGAAATTAAATAAGCCTTCGGAACAGTATATTCCTCCACGGCGAGCAGACAGCCGTCGTCAAATCGCTGTTCACCTTATAAGAATAATTATCTGTTCACAGTGCAGCAGATTAAATTCTTGTATTCACTAAATACGTTGTTTAGAACAAACAAAATTATTTCTCTCATTCGCGGTGATGATAATCGATTGAGTAGACGCAAAGTAGTTTGTATAACTCAAAATTTTGTCATATACAAATACTGTTCACACGCCAGCTGCTATATAATCTCGAAATGATTCAGTTTCACGGAGCCTTAAACATCTGCCAAACGTCTGGTCCATATTAAGGTTTTTGGAACAGTAGTTCTAGCAGGAAATGTTTATGAGGTAGCAGGCATTAACTTCCCAGCACAACAGTCCACGCATTGATATTACAGGAAATGAATAGGAAATATACAGGCTAAAATGTGGTCAAAAATTTTCCGACAATAACTTCTCATCTTTCGTTAGCGGTCAAGAACCTTATAAATTACACGTAAGGACATTTGTAAGGGCTTATTTGAAATTGTCTTTCACTTTAGTGTTGGGCGGTTGAGGTGAGATATAGCGATTTAATACAAAGATTCGACAGTCATTGTTTATTGAATGGCGCTGTGACACGAGGGGTGGCCTATACCTCCAGGGCACGGTCTGACGTATCAGGCGACTCGCATAGCTTATAAACCAATCGGTATATTTTAATTTGTACTTGAAATATCGGAGAGTTAACAAATTGATTAGTAGCAGTCCAACTGCCAAGCGTGTGACAAGTACCTTCCATTGTCCGTTATCTCGGAATACAAGCAGCGTATAGAAAGGAGCGTGAAAATAAACAAAACCCATCGTCATATAAATATCAAGGGAAAATCACGTATAGTTGGCAAAGTGGCCAAAGCACAAGTGGTGTCTTAGACTTAGAAGCAGTATAAGTAAGGGATTGATCTGAATTAAATTGTATTGTACTGTATTGGTGGCTGGCGACAGTTGGTATAATCCAAATATTGTACGATACTCGATAGTGTGAAAGACAAAATACCTGAGACGTATATCCTTTAAATGGCATTTACTTTCTAAAGTGGATTATTGCACAGTCAAATTATAATAGTCGCAGTACGTCGTCAGTGTTGCTAAAGTATTCAGACGGCACTATACATATTGACACAAAAACGAGAATTAAGCCTTAAGGCGTTTTGATACAGGTCGTCATTCATGCACCCAGATATTTAATACAAGCATCGCACGAGATGCATCGACGTCGCGGTTCAGCTCCGGCTGTCATTTTACAGCAACAACTTTCAAAATATAATAACTGGGAAAAGAATGGTTTCCATTCGGAAGATGGAAAGAAGGACAAAGACAAACTAAAGAGTAAGAAATCGCCAAAGAGTGATATATCGCGTAGTTCTAGTCCGATGGGCATGTTCCATCAAATGGGCAAACTATCTGAGGAAGGCGCAAGCAAGGAAAGAACTTCGAGTGACCCGTCGATTAACAACCTAATATGCGGGAATGGAAATAATAACAACCACCATCACAGTCTTTCGAGAAGGCCTTCGAGCCCAACGCTCATAACGAGCGAACGCAAAAATGATAAATGTTCTGGCAAACGTTTGACCATACGCGGTCAGGATTGGTGCTCCACTGAAATCACAAATACAACTCGAAATAACCTGAAGAAAGCTGGGTCGATTAAGGATTATCATATCGTCTTACTGGGACAAGGTGGCGTTGGTAAATCCGGTAAGTCTCTATACAATTTGTTTCTACACGGATTGTGATACAGTTACTAAGTAAACAACCTTTTAGCAGTTTTATTTAAAGAGCGAGCACATGCAATGCGATGTTTTGACGTTCCTCTCGACCAGTTAGTTTATCTTTGTTAACTGTATTCATTATTACCATGACATGGCTATCATGACCCTAACACATCTTGAACTTATCAAGTAATCAAGAAAAAAGTGCATGTAGCTTTTCACGCCGGTACAGGCGTTTAGCGCATAAACTAAGATACATTTGTTATTTTTTAAAGTCGAACGCGGTTATCTCGAATATTTGTCAATGCTCACTTTGTGTTGTCATTGATCTTGCGCTGTTAGGCTCCGAGTAGGAACGCAAAATCGTGATTTGAGGAGACAATGCGTGATACACTTTTCGTCGCTTAAAGAATCACGCATATCTTTTACGTACGTTTTTTACAGAGAAACAAACCGACTATGTTACGAAACGGGAAATTTCATAATCAGTTCCATCGATCGCAATTTATCGAGTTCTTTTACACAGCTGCTAGAACTATTCACAACACGCAATTGACCGCCCGTCGTCTTCGAACAGTCTAATGCTTGCATATCAACAAGCTGGCAAATACAAGCTTTCAAGGTCTCTTTTACAATGTGCCGACATTGCAGCGATTATCCCCACTTCGTGTTGATTCGTAAAACGATACTGTCAGGCTTTGTTTTTCCTTTCTGCGGAAATGCTCTCTTTTACCGTAGTTTTAAATAAATTCCGCTCAGGATAAATATGCACAGGATAAATATACAAATTTGTTTATTAAGCTCAAGGGTACTTGTGATTCTAGAGTATAATACATATATTGTGTACATGATACATACTAAAGCGGTATTGCGTGTTCCAGGAGAGGTGTAAAAGTAAAGCTATCTTGCGATTTTTGGCACACAATTGCGACTCGCTGCGAACATCGTCAATGGCTCATTGTCAATCGCCCATTTTCGCTGATAGTGTTGATCCCCTATTTCCCTTGTGTTGTATACTTAATTGGATTTCAATCTGGTGTATTGTGTGCGGTATTTGATTTAAAAACAACAAATTTGGCAAGCGTTTTCTTGCAATAAAATTCGTGTTACAAAAGCAACACTTTCACGTGACCTTAGGCTTAGCCTTAGCTTCTTAGACAAAAGAAAAAACCCCAACAATTTATGACGACTTTAAAAAACTGATATCTATACACAGAGGTCTGAGAGATTGACATACATGCCGGCTTTCCATACAAGATAGGACGTCCGTCCACGGTTGGCAAGGTCGGATATGATCATTTTCTCGGCTTTTATACAGTCAAGTACAAAAAATACAATAAGAGTCTTGTCAATCAGTCATGAATTGTAACACAAGAAGATAAATCCTCGGATGTATCGTACTAAACATTTACCAACATGTTAATACGTACAGTAGCTGAAGCAGCCCACAGTTTAAAACGTTGATCATTGGTGTAATGATAGGCCTTATGATAATTACATAGTTATATTTGTAATAGAAAGCATGGTAGACCTATGATTTTCCTCGGATATTCATTACTTTATATATAGGTAGCTCAATATATTGTTGGAGTATGATTTAATAGTTTATGCAAATTACTTTCATAAAGTTTAGGTAATGTTACACTGTATTGATTTCTCTACGGTTAGTTCATACACGTGTCCAGATAACAGATTGAATAACGATCTCCAAGGATACGGCAAACGCTCATGTATAATATACAATGTGTATGACTGGAGACAGAAATCTCTAATTTAGAATTGCAAAATTTTTTGGTGAAAAATTTAAAACTCGTTGTCAAATCAAATATCGATTTAATCAACCTGGTTTACGTCAAAAAATATTTTACATTTCTTACCAGCGTGGAACATTGATTGAAACATTGATTTTTAATAATTTTATCCCTTCGCATTCCATTTCTCATTTATCACAATATATGTCATTCTGCTTTCCAAAGTCCTAATGAGTATTGGTTAATTAAATTAATTCAGGACTCGCCTACAACAACACTAATCAACAAAATGATCATATCAGAGTGCACTCTTGGTGCCAGATTATTATGCTCCACTCTCGCAGTATACTGTATACCGCATAATATAAAACCTGCAGGGCGACCAGGGTAATATCAGTCAGATTGAAATGTTTTTTGGCTTGGCTTTTTGCATTACTGTTTTAATTGTGTCCCCCATGTTTTCAATTTTGGCGTGTGCATAGTTATGATTTATGCATGTATAATAACTGTATTCGCTGCTCAATTGCTCAAAACAAGCAAAATAACAACTCTTGCCTACGGCTTCGGCATTAGAAAAATAATTGTTTTAATTGGAAAGAATTTCAAGTAGCTTGAAGTATAACTATATGTACTACATATTTCATTGTTTCATATAATATTTAACCATTGACAGGCATCAACAATTGGCACTGAAATGCGAAGGTCAGCCATTATATAATATCAAAATTAGTGTGTCATCAAATATGGGCATTTCGCTATAGTTATAACACAATTGCCAGACAAGCAGCATGTGGTTCGGTGGTTGCGGCCGGCATCCTTATACAACTGAGTGAAATGAACTGACGCAAATTGTATACAACAACGTATATTTACATACATTTAATTGCGAGTATAAGAAATATGCAGCATAAACCAATTTAAATTAATACATGGATTCAAACGTCGGCACGTATAGATACAACCAATTAAATTGCAATTACTCAATAAGTGTTTTTCTCTCTTTTCTTGTTCACAGCTCTACTCGTAAGGTTCTCAACTGGCAGATTTATTTATGAATACCATCCGACATTAGGTAAGGTTGCATCTAAATACCAATTGTATGTTCACTGTTATAATCATCTGAATTATACCCGTCAAAGGACAACTAGATTGGTCAAAATGACAGAATCGTTGTGAACAAAGACAGGTAGGAAAAGTCATTGACGCATTGGTAGTTTCTTCTTTGTAAAATCCAAAAGATTGGAATTTCAATACTGATAAGAATCTAAATTAACATGCAGGTCGTTTGTAGTTTCTAGAGTTGATTTCAGCGGTCTGTTTGCGCAGTTGTTTTTTCAACAGTATATAATTAGTATAGCTAGCTATATACAGGTCTGAAAAGGCGTTGGCCAACTGCATGCCACCAATTTGAACAAAAATTAGTCGTGTGTTAAGTAGCATGAATAATGTCAAATGAAACAAATAGCAAACACTCTGAGAAAATCTTTCCAGCATGATAATGGCATTAAAAAGAAACTTATGTGCGTGCAAATCAACATGTCTGTGTATGTGCAAACAAATTAACATGTCACTGTGTTTTTCTCACACAGAAATGAATTATGAGATGCTTGCAGAAATCGATGACGAGATAGGAGACCTACATATCTTGGATACGGCTAATACGGTGAGGATTGAATATATCAACCATTTATGCGTGCGCCACGAAAGCTATCATTTTCAATTGCCATACGCACTTATAACGCACGTGCATTAAGTCTATGGCTATACACTGTGTCATCACATTTAATGATTTACGCGATCTTGCAATGTTAAGTATATAAAACGCAAAGTGGTGCGTTTAACACAAAATGGTGCTTTAATATTTGGCTAAACACTTTGAAATCGACCCGTTATTCGTCGAGAATGTTATATACTTTAACAAATTTGCGCAAATTAAATAATCGATCTTCCATCGTCGGGCGGAATGTCTATCTGTTAATATCATTTAATTAAGAGTTTGGTCCGCTGCGTGTTTCCAGATCACCTGAGGAATGAAACAAAAACAAACTGCAAAAGAGAAAAGTATAAAAGTTTGACAAATGTAGGAGTGTGCATGATGTATCTTTTCTTTATATATTATATTATATGGAACTCCGTGGAATCAACATTAAATTATAAGCGGTTGTACTCTTTCTTTCTGCATGGTATACGTCAGTCAGTGACCTGAAAATCTTTAGACCGAATTTAACTGACCAGGACGTATATTACTGGTCAAATATAACAAGATTCCTGCATGGTTACATTAACCAGATCGACGGTTAATAATTATGGTAGAAAGTGATCATGAGGTAAGATAATCAGGACTATTAAATTAGGACAGGGCTATTAGGGTTATTTCTAGGTTAACCATGAAGAAAATTTTAGTTGGGGTATTTTTAATTTAGAGTGCATGTTTATTTTTGCGCTGTATATTTTATAGTAACGAGCATTCTCTTACGTTTCGTACAAAAAAACACACTTGTATATACTACCCAGAAAGAAAGAACTTAATAATACTAATTATATACAGTACGTACTCTTATTTGATTGTGAAAAAAAACCCACAATTTAATTTCTCCTTTTATTGGGTATTAAAGTCTTATTGGAGTATACAAGTCAGACATTGGAGCAGCGACACAAAATCAAATTCCATATTCAAGTTACATGCAGTAGGCTACCTCGCAAGTTACCATTCGAACTGAGAAACAGTATAGTCTATAGACTCTGCGACACTGCATGTCATAAATAATGATAACCTTTGGCTTTGTTGCTACAATAAACCTAAAGTTGCCGCAATTTTTTCGGCAACTACTAATTATCGGTCTCATATATAACTTTGTCTTTGAATATACATATAATAATATGCATGCGTGCATAGGCATAGCATAGCCATAGTATATTATATTATACACTCTACAGCAAGAATGTTGATGTATTTTAAATGATGAAGTTTTCTTTACCAAATTAAATTCTATAAAACCTAAACTGAAACTAATCCATATACACACAGTGAGTGACTAATTCAGTAATTGTCTAGACCTTTTATATATTTTAAACCTTAGCTATATATATAGTTTCCACTCAGCGCACCGCGTTGTTTCGAACCACTGATCAACCATTTAAACTTCCAATGCAAGAAATGAAGTTTATCTAATTCACATTCATTAATATTAGTTTTTATCAAAGATTGGTTTACACTATACAAACGTTTCTATGATCACGGGAGGCTATCAGGGCCGTTGCATGGCTTTGCTCAAAACGTCGAGGTTCTGCTAATACTTTTCAGGTAGTTGTACCCTCTCTCAATTCGCAGCTGTCTATCAAACTTTAATTAACTACTAGTACTATTTTGAATTAAACTAATTATTGAGGCTTTCATTGCTTTGCCGTTCACCAAAGAAACTTCTATACTAGTGTGAACCAACTTCATAATCGCGTGCTTGTTTGTATTAATCAGGAAATGCGTTGCACGGTACAACATACGTACATGTACTGTTAGCCAAAATCATTTGCGGCTTTTTTTCAATCAACCGATTGTCGCAAATCTTGCGAATGGCCATATATACAAAAGACTAATTGCTGCGGAGCTTTTTTAATTGTATCAACTCATTTACACATTCTAGAAGCTGCTCTGCCCACCCGCCCCGTAGCATTGTGCAGCGAATAATGAAAGTATGCATAACTTGACGCCATGATATTATAATAAAGTTTGAAACTATTATTAGACTTAGCCTTAGGACACCTGCAGCACTGTCTGATACTGTGATGACGAATACATACTAGTTACATTACAATATGTTGCTATCTTCCGTAGAAAACCAAATCCGAAATTTTAACAAATCGCTTTGTATATCACCGGGAAGATCAAAAGAGTAATATAAACATATCGTAAAACAATTTAAAACCATGCCGACTACGACCTCTTGAGTGCTGAAACACACAATGATCGATAAAATTCCGAATAAGATTAATAAGACGCAAAGGCGAAGCCTATAAGATTAAATACCATGCACGAGAAACGTCAACAAACAAGCACGCGACTATATAAAGAACTTAACGACTATTTAGCTAATCCCGACATGTTTATGAGATTTTTAGCAAGAGAAAATTGGATTTCGCGTTGATATAATTAATGACTCCGCATGGTCCCGCCTACATAACAAGGGTCTATTTTTGTCATCAAAAAAATGTATAAATAAACCAAATGTCTCAATATAGTACACAATGAGTTGAAAGGTGGCCTGAGCTATTAATGTAATCGTAAGATTTTACCATTTAAGCACTAGGTTGAGCTTACCTTTGTGAGTTACCCTCATCGACGATCGATAAAGCAACTCTTTATATATGGCTGTCGGAGGCAAATTACCTGTCAGCATTTATCACAGTTAGATATATTTAGATTGAAGTTTTGCAAATTACCGCTCGAAATATCCACGACCGAAATAACTCATATGTAACTAAATATATATATATACTATAGTATAAAAATAAGGATATTGGTTTGGGATCATGGGATTATAACAACCATGCATGAGGTTTAATTAAATTCTTGGTTAAGATAGGGGATATAGGAATCTTAGGGATGATAGGAATAAATTGTAGGATTTGTCTGATTATGATCCACTGTCTTACATGCAGCATGTGCAGATGCTTCCAACTACGTCGTCCAACGGCCACGCCAAGTTTTTAATATCTTCAAATTCTCCCCTGACTCAAATCGTGATTTAGCGTAACGACGTAAGGCTCCAGTTTTGGGCTAATTCTATATTGGCAAGTATTTGTGGGTATTAGATATTGATGATATTAGAATTAGAGTAATAGACGTTAAGAAGCTGACTCGTACCCAGTCGTCATGAGTATACATATATAGATCGGTGGACTGAGGAGTGAGATCTTGATCATTCCCGTCATACACCATTGTTTTTCAACCCCGTTCAATCCATTCAGGGACTTGCCACATACAGTTTTTAGCATCTTCAGATCCTGCCCATATTTAACGTATCCCAATGATGCAAATTGATTTTTCTTTCCATTTTCAGACTGAGCCTGTATATTTGAACGAAGGCCAAGGTTTTATTGTCATATATTCCATCAACGATCGCTTAAGTTTTGAGACTGCGAAACAGCTCGTTAAACTAATACGAGAAGTGAAGAAAGCCAAAGGTTCTTCAATCGTTTTGGTTGGCAACAAAGTTGATCTTAAATATGATCGAGTTGTTCCGCGTAAAGAAGGGAGAAACTTTGCTGTTGAATGTGAATGCACTTTCTATGAAACATCCGCCATGAACAATATTAACGTTCCAGTCATATTTCATGATCTTGTCAAACAAATGAGAGCTATCTCTAAAAAGAACGGTCGAATGAACTCACTGAAGAATTTCTTTGCGAGATAACCGGGGAAGTTGAAAGAAAATTTTATTGTTTCAATTAAAAAACTGTCTCATCTGTAAAGGAACAAGCTTTCATTTTTGTCCTTACTTGCGGAGATAATTCAGTTTCTTGATATGCAGTGCTAACCGACTTACATCAGACATTGCGAAATAAACCGCCAAAGACGTGATTTCTACCCAGTGAAATCAGATGGGAAAAATGCCTATGCTATGGTCTTGCTTTCAGAGTATAATGTATAAAAATTTACAAATAATTTATTTGTCGATAACACATTGTGCATAGTGTGACGTAACTTTGTTTGCTTTATCTGAGGAAAATAAATTTACAGTTTTGAGAGTTTTTTTTCAAATGAAACAATAAAATAGTTCGCGCCATCCTACCTTAAAACAAAATATTTAAAGTAAGAATGGAGGAATAGTAAACCTGATGGTATATTACCTGAATGGACAAAACCTCTTTCCCAAGCGATGGAAGCGATCTGCTTGACCTTGTATATGTTAGGCACTATTGATTTGGTTAAATAAGTAGTTTGCGTGTTCGAGGTTATTAAAGGTAGAGACGTACTGATGTAGAGTGATATTCAAAACATATTTGGAAATAGATATACTTCTACCGAGAATTTAGGGGCTGTTCAGATACATGATCCTGGTTTGCCAGGATGGTATTTGGCATAGGCGGTTAATTTTGTTGCATGTAAGTAAATACTTCAAATGTTGTCGAGAAGATCTCGTATTCCAATAAGGTTATTATTGCTGCTTGAACAATCAAAATCATCTTGCCTCACATCTCACCTCCGGCAAATGTGAACAGCCCCTAAATAGAAAATATTCATGTGTGTTCACAATATGAGCAATGGAAAGTGAGAGAGATATGGCTATTGCATGCCTATTGGCCGGCCCAATATGCGTTGTAAATCCGATTTAACGGCATTTTATGTACAATACGCTAACAGTAACATATCTTTCTTCATAACTCTGAAATGTGTAGAGCACGTTGCGTACAGTATGATGTATTCAGATGATATGAATTTAGACATACTTTTAAAATCTATAGGCGTTGATATCCGACGTGAAACACTTACGATAACATTTTACAATTTGTACATGGAATTGGAAAGAGTAATATTTTTGTCACAAAGTGATAACAGAAAAGATATTGTTTTAAAAATTGTACAGTTTTTAACTAGATTAGGGCCATGTGTTATGTCTATATGGTACTGATGACCATTTCCTTAAAATTCACGCATTTCTGCACGTAATTCTTTAGAATAGAAACACTATCGTGTGAAACTGCGCAGCACCCCAGCGCATAGTGTCTGAGATTTGTGGGGGAGCCTTGGTGAAATCTGAATCGTTAGAGAAGTATGTCTTGTGATCTAATATGGCAGTATAAATGCTCCAAGTTGTGAGGTGTCACGCCGTTCCTATCTGCTCAACTTGGCAGGTCTGCAATACTGACATTTTGTCAAAACGACTCTCCCAAGTTATATCAAACCATATATAGGCTAAATGCAATTTTGCCTGTCTTTATTTCACATCGAATGAAAGATATGTGCATGGGTTGCGATTAAAAATGCATTATCGCTTTAACCACTAATTTATTGATTAGGCATCAACTATTACTTAATTGTGTGGCTTACACTTAACTATATACACAAGATCTTGCTCTTGTGTATATAGTTAGTGTGTATACCTATTGGGATCCTGTGTCGGACGAATATAACTACTGCGAAAATATAAAAAAGGTATTCCGATATTGCCGTTATTATTGTTCCCCCATAAGGCGATTTGAGGTAGTGCAGATTCAAAGTTTTTCTTCTTGTTATACTTTTCGAAATATAAGGACTGTGAATTTCTATGAATTTACACGTTGATCAGTTTTTCTGGTTAAATAAAATCAATCAAAATGTGACGTTGTGACGCGGTGTGAATAATTTTATAGGAAATTTAGTAGCCATGACCTTGACAATTAATTTCCAATATATTTAATTTAATATACCCAGCTGTACACCGGATATGTTTACGTTGAGAGTAGACTTAAGCCCGCAGATGTCATGAATTGAAAATACTGTTATATTTATTTCCTACTGTGTGAGATTGTCAACACTGACCATCCATTTTGAGCAATCAACTAGCTATAAGATATAGAAATTAAATGTCGATCGGAAACGAGAAAGATTTTTTCTGTTCTAACCAACTCGCGTATATATATTATAGGACGTGTGTTTCCATCTAATTTTGAAAACATGGCCGGAAGTGTTTCTATTACTCGCTAAACATGCGAAAACAATTTGCTATATTCTTTTATAAAATATCACAGCTTCGGTGACGATAATCTGTAAATTTATCATTAATTGCAAACTGATTGTAATGAATATTCTCAATACACGAAGACATTTAAATTGCCTTGGCAACAAACAGTTCGATCAGCATTTCACCATTGCTCGTGGGAAAACTTTACTAAAACCTAGCTGAGCGTCTCTACACGAAACGTCATAATTCAATTAATGATTAATTGCTTTTTAAGACTGATAAAGTATATCCTTGTTGTTTTAACGATCGGAACGTTTTACTTTGATTGTACAGAATGTTAATATCAGTTTTGCTTTTTGAGGAATATATATCGCTATGAATTAAAAATCAAATTAAAGCACAACCAGTCACAATATCGGTCAGACTACAAATTAAACGAACACAGATGAAACCGAGTATCGGCCTTTAAAGCGTTTGGTGAGCAACAAAGAATTTAAATATGTAGAAGTCTAGAAGAGTGCCGACTAAATTGCAGTTTTAGCAGGGCTTCTTTTAATAGATAGACTGGGGGCCAGGTTCTCGCCCCGCAGCGCCAATGTTGGCCCCTCCAGTGACCAATGTTGCCCCTCCCCCTCTGTGAAAATCCCTTCTGTCTAAAATATAAGCAAAAGGGAAATAGCATATTACAATTCCAATGATCAAACCTCTAGCGGAATGATGAAATAATGATCAAAAATTGTTTCCGAAAACGCTGAAAATCAAGCCGCAGAGCTCAAAAATATAAGTATTTTCTAGGTGAACCCACAGACCCCCTTCACCATCCTAGCCTGCGAGCAGGCTCTCTGGGTGAAAGAGAGCCTGCAAGGATCCCTATGATGATTGCGTGCCGCCTTTTACAGGTAATTAGCATATCACAGGTCAATTAATATCAACCAATCAGCGCAGACCGGAAATACACTTAAATATTGTAAACATAAACCGATAAACGTTAACTCCATTTACTCTATATTGTATTCTTTCGTTAGTTTCGTATACAGACCGCCACTGGGGCATACTAAAAAGGTTAAACGGCTTGAGATTTTACAGTGTAATATATCAAGTTGTACTTTTTATTACAATCTGCATGTGTTTCTGTAGGCACAGTAAGTTTAAAGTTGTATATTACCCGCTAACTAATTCAGTTGTTTGGAACTTGATTGCTTCATGCTGCAATAAATATATATATCCAGTATAGTAATAATATAACTGCAATAAATATATACATGGGCGTACCGGGCGGGCAATATTCGCTCAACAGTCGGGCAATTTTACTATATTATAAAAATAAATGGGACAAATTCTGTCAATTTTGAGGTAAATTTTTTGATTTTTCGAAAATTTGTGTGATGTTCCGAAAAATTTTAGTGTGTCCGAAAAATTTTTTGACCCCTAAAATGGTACACTGACCGAAATTTTTTTGGCGGTACTGGTCGGGCACAATCCGGACTAGTTGGGCAAATTTCTTTCCGCCCCCCTAATTTTTTCCTTCCGGTACGCCCATGAATATATCCAGTATAGTATAATATGATATACCATGGACATTGGACATAATTTAATATGTTTATAGTTCAAATTTCGCAACAAAAGGTGGAATTACAGTATTAAACATGCATGTGATAATTATTGTAAACAAAGTGACGAGTAAATTACTGTACATTTTAACGCTTCATACTTATAAATATTAAATAGTCAGTATAACATTGTAAAACAAGCTTAATACAAACAATATGCACGGAATATTATCAGAATAATTCTCAATATTGTTTCATGAAAGGGAAGCGATATATATCGAATATATAAATGCCTTGTCCCTAGGTTTCGGTCTGCGAATTTGTTCAGTCTCTTCTTAGCCTAGAAGTCAGACAAGCCCAAGACACAATAAAGCATGCAAGCTTTTAGTATTCGTCTTTATATGAATACTATATTATTTTACTGTAAAAAGTCAATTAACAAGGATACAAAATACATGACACTTTTATCTCTACATTGCCGCAATTCCGAAGCTTTGCGTAGTGCTCGGTTTTACAAACGGGAAGTGTAGTTTATGGAAGCTTATCAATCACTTCATTTGAATCAGTTATCAACCAATCAGAGATCTGCGTCCAAATATTGGACGCATGCACGTAAATATCATAGGGATCCTTGCAGGCTCTCTTTCACCCAGAGAGCCTGCTCACAGGCTATCACCATCCTGGCTACCTTTCCTGTTCAGGCCTACTGTACCTGTTGTGTCCTTTATTTTATGCATAGAACATAATAATGAAACATAACGTGAATATAAACTTAAAAATATAAACAATAACTTTCGTTTGATTGTTTTCCTAACACATGTCCCCTCTCCCGTATCCCAGTCCATGTGGTCAGCGGTCATTGTTACCCACTACTGGTAAGTAAGCTCCTTTTTTATGGCCGCTCTCCTAACAAATTCAGAAAAGAGGCCCTGCAGAGTGTAGTTTAGCGTGGCTTTAATTGAATGATTGAACAATCGAATGCCTTGTCTATGCATATTAATTGAAATAAGCGAAGTATTGGATTGAATTTTTCCTATAGTCTGATATATGCAGCTCAGATTTATGATTACATGTAAATTGCTTATTCTAATTCCGTTCTTTTTGAGCGGTTTTTGTCGTCGTCTGCACTTAACTATTAGGAATCCAGAGAGGGGAGGGGTACACAAAGGGCCTGAATTTTTCCAGCCTATTTGTCTCTGCAGGATTTTTTTAAGCGTTCAATGACCCCACAGGCTGCAAGAATACTTTTTCAAATTAAACTCATGTGCACTGCCAATTACGTTTTTAATGAAGTCGCACAATTGCTACATGACGAAGAAAGACGTGAATAACCATAATAAAAGCATGCAAAAGAAGATTGTAAGATGTACATGTAACTAACTTATTAAATATGACAAAGAAACACATATGGATAAATGCGTGGCAGTGTTGAAACTTGAAAACTACCATTTGGAACTCAACTCTATTCACACAAAAGAGACGTATGGACGATGGTTAATAGTACCCTCGGGTTAATTTATCTATTCATTAAGCCCCAAGGGCCTTATTTTCCCAAACATTTCTACATGAGTTTTTCTTGAAGATTTAAAGACAGCATCAGTCACACCAAATTTTAAAAATAGCGATGAAATAAAACTAGATTTGAAAACTACCGACCAATATCTGTTCAAACTTGTTTCTCTAATAATTTAGAGAAACAAGTGAGAACAGACATAGGTCGGTAGTTTTCAAATCTAGTTTCATCGTTATTTTTTTAGTTAATGTATAACACATTAATACATTTTGTGGAAAATAAAAATCTATACCAAAACATCAGCACGGTAGTTCAGAAAAAAACAGATCAACGGAGCTCGCGATGATAGATGATTGAGTTTATCGACAAAATGACTGCTGCGAATGTCGGGGGGAATTCGCAATAGGCATTTTCCTTGATTTGTCGAAAACATTTGACGCAATAAAGTCGCAGGATTCTGACTAAAAAACCGGAAATACGAGGAATAGCACAAAAATGGTTTGAAAGCTATTTAAATAACAGAAAACACATTGTTAAATACAACGGTGTACGTTCAGAGGAATTCACAATAAACAGTGGCCTTCCTCAGGGATTTATTTTAGGACCTTTATTATTTCTCCTGCCATCAAACTCCTCACGTGACCCCTTCTGAGGTATGTGATCGAGTACAGGACGTTGTTTATATCTGCTCGTCTCTCGGACCACAGTGGTCCAGGCCCTGTATGGGTATTTATTTGTTTTTTAATTTTATTATACTTTGCATTAAAAATTTACTTTAAATTATAAAGTATAACTTAATATCCTTTAAAATTGACACTGGAGCCCAAGTGAACGTCTTACCAAAGAATCTCTACAACAAGTTAAATCCTCGCCCACAAATCAAAGCGACATCAACCAAGCTGTCGGCCGTACACGGAAAATGCATTGTCCCAATTCAGTACAAGGGACAAAAGCGCCATCTCCTGTTTATCGTAGTAGATCAGAGACCACGCCTACCCTTGGTTCGGCTACTTCAGAGCGACTCAACCTAGTCAAGCGAGTAACTGACTCCAATGTCAAGGAGTCATATATGTCTAACCTCATTTCTGATGAATTTTGTGATTGCTTTGGAGAGATTGGTACACTAAAGTCCACATACCACATAACATTGAAAGATGATGTTCATCCAGTGGTAGTACACCTACGAAGAGTACCGTTTCCTCTCAAAGATCGACTGAAGAAGGAATTGGGCCGCATGGAAAACATGGAATAATTGAAAAAGTCGAAAAGGCTATACCTACTGGGTCAACGCCTTGGTTCTTGTTGGAAAGCTTCGTGTCTGCCTAGATCCTCGTCTACTAAACCAACGGCACCACTATCGTTTGTCCACTACTGGAGAAATTATTTCCCAAATGAGTGGTGCACGATTCTTTAGCAAACTCGACGCAAGCAATGGATGCTGGTAGATTGCATGCAGTCGATGACTCGAAGTACATCCGATCTTCTAACGTTTGGAACAGCATTCGGCAGATACAAATTTAAGCGGATGCCCTATGGAATCCACTCAGCTAGCGAGATATTTCATCTTGAAATCTCGAAGATCATTGCTGGCTGTGAAGGTGCTGTTAACTCGCAGGATAACATCATTGTTTGGAACTTTGGGGAGAAACCAAGGAAATTCATGATCAACGCCTGGAGAAAGTCCTTACAAAAACCCGAGAGTGTGGATTGAAATTACATCAATCAAAGTGCATTTTTGAAGCAGCCGAGCTTACTTAATTAAATCCACAACTGGTCTACTGATAACATTAACATGCAGTTGAACCATGGATAATAAAATAAATGGATAGGAAACTAGCTGACGTGGCCTAATGTTTTCAATGGATGTTCAAACCTAGTTGCAAACCAAATTCTCAAAAACGGCATGTTTAGCAATAATACAGCTAACCATTTTAGTCAAAGAGCAAATAAATATAACTACGCCATTCTACGATGAAATCTCTAAGTATTCCCAGTCAATTTTAGCAAATATTTCAAGCACTAAACAGTGAAAAATGCATCGCAAATTTCGTTAAAATTGGCGAAGCCAATTTCGTAGCTACAAATGTAAAAAAATACAAAACAAAGACGAAAAACATTTACCTTGAATACTTTGTCGTGGCTTAGGCATGTTTTTAAAACAATCAGACCAGTTTATGCTTCAATATTACTCTTTTAAAGCGGAAAATATAGCGAAACAACAAAAATGCTGAGAAGTTTGGCAATGCGCGTGACGTCACAGATTGCAACTAGGTTTAGACTGTGACGTCAGGAAGTTTCCTATCCAGTTATTTTACAATCCATGGTTGAACCATAGACAATCCAGAAGACATCCATGTCTTCTGGATTGTCTATGGTTGAACCAAGAAAAGTGCAAAGAAATCCAAATCTGTTTCAGTAATTGTAATTTAAAGGAAGTACCACCTTTGTCAATAGAAGTAGTTTTGTCAATTAAATGACGAAGAAATGTGTATTTTTAAATTTTTTCCCAAATAATCACCTATGAAATTATACTAAAATAATTATTCACCTCAGGCTAGCTCGGTGATTATCGTGAATAAAAACCTCGACTTCGTCTCGGTTTCTATTCACCAATACTCGCCTTCGGCGAATAATTGTTAAATAAAGGACAATCTTCGTATCAGGGTTTATTTTAACTTGCAGTTCTACACAAAATGTGCAGTTCTAAACCCATTTGTGCAGTTCTTAAAACTGAAATGTGCAGTCACCAAATTAACAAAAATATAACCTCAAAATCCAAATGCCAGAAATGCTGTCATTGAGCATCACAAATCTAAATGTTTCCTGGGAGAGGACCACCAGATCCTCATATTTTCCTCACAAATCACATACGTGCTGGGGGTAATGGAACAGGAGGTAAAATTGGAGCGAGCGAAGCTATCCAAAAGATATTAGAGTGGGAGAACCTAATATTCTTTGCTGCCTAAGATTATTATATATTGAGTATTCATGATTCCCAGTTACATGTTTTGAAACAGTTTTTGTGGGTGGTTGGGTGAAACAAATCTTTGCCAGAACTTACGAGCCTCTAAATTCAAAATTTGGGGGGACACCCCTACCTGTATCTTCCCCACCCGGAATCGAGTTCGTCTAGCCCCACCTAACCACAGTCACCTTTATTCCGCCACCTATATACAAATTAATCTATCATAATTTAGAGTGTATTATAATTTGCAACGTTAACTATAAATTTACAACGTTAAATATAGTGTAGATAAAAATCCTTTGACCCCCCAGTCAAACATCCTTTGTCCCACCAGTCAAACACGTGATGCTTCTTAACATCCCTAATACGTGCAGTTCTAAACCTTTCTTAAAATAAACCCTGCTTCGTATGATTTGCGGAAGAAAAACAATGATTGAGCAACGCATAGGGGACTCCTGGCATCCAATTGCGTTTGCTTCTAGAGCACCAGACAACTCTGAACAAAATTAATTATGCTCAGATACTGAGCGCGAGACTCTACCGGTTGAACCGGTTGTATTCGGTGTGAACGGTTTCACGAATACCTGTATGGTCGAGAATTCATCGCACAAAATGATCACCAGCCGCTGAAAGCAGTCTTCTCCAAAAGCATTGTACAGTGTCCACCTCGCATCCAACCGGTTCTTTTTGCGCCTGCAAAAGTACAACTAGTTTGCCTTCGAATATGCACCCGTGAAAAGACCATGAAAGTGGCAGAGTATCCTTAGATGGAAAACCAGAAATCTATCCTGAAGATATGGCTCACCATGTTCATTTGATCATCTATCAGCTGGTCAGCCAGTCAAAGCTCGCGCAGCTTCAGCGCGAAACAATGAAAGATCTAGTTCTGCAAAGGTGAAACAATACACCATCGATAGTTGGCCAACCAAGAATGACATTACAATTCCGTGTCAGCATTCTACAGTCAGCGTCACGAGATTGTGTACAATCATGATCTTTTCCTCAAAGGACAACAAGTCATAGTTGCAACTAAGTCCAAGCGTGCGGAAATCAGAGCTCTCCTTCATCAAGGACACCAAGGCATTGAAACATGCAAGAATCGTGCCCAGCAATCAGTTTATTGGCCCGGACTAAACCACGAGCTCACCGTCCTGGTCTCCCAGTGTGCTACCTGTACTAATCATCGCCACAACGTATCTGACCAACCATGGGTTAAAGTTGGCACTCTGATCTTTTCTCACTTAGTTGGTGATGGGGAATACCATATAGTTGTGGATTATCACTCTAAATTCTTTGAAGTAGCGCATGTTCAAAAGTCTGCAGATTCACCTGCCATAGTTCGTGAAATGAAAACATTTTCAGCCGACAGGTGTAATAGTGTTTAGTGATAAAGGTCCACAGTACACAGCTGCTCCCTTCAAACGATTCGCACAAGAGGACTTCAAGCAAGACACCTCTAGTCCTCACTTCCCTCAGTCAAATGGACTTGTCGAGCGAACCATTCAAACAGTTAAGAAATCGCTGAAGAAATCTCAGGAATCTAGAAGCGACGTTTACCAATCAATGCTCGTGTTAAACCCAACACCAAGCAGTGATGGCCTCTTTCCTGCTTACAAAATGTACCATCGAAATCCTCTTACCACCCTGCCGGGAAATAATCAGTCATCCAGTCCAGTGTTGCCAAAGCGAAAGATCAAATAAGCATATGATCAGATTTACCTGCTCTACAGCCTGGTTCCACAGTGGGCGTGCGGACCGATAAAGAAAAGAATTGGTCCAAAAAAGGGAAAGTAGTGAAAAAGTGTCGCAATCCTCGATCCTATCTTATCTTGAATGAGCAAGGAAACGTTGTTCGTCGAAGACATCTATTGCCAACGTTGGAAACATTCATAGTTGCGAGCAATAATGACAACCCACAACTGCCCAGTAAACATTCCAACTCCACCCAAAATAATGCAGAATCAAACAGGAGTCAAACACCTTAGCTCACCTTCAGCGATTCAGGATGGTTCAAGTCCTACAGTGACATCTGTGTCAGGTCGACAAATAAGAATGCCATCAAGATTTGCAGACTACAAGTTATTTCGATAAACTAAACAAACCTTATACTAGATACATTTCATCTTAGTTCTAGTTGACATCATATTCATGTTGAAAGGCCGAGATATTGCATATCGATCTCCTCGCGTGACCTCCTTCTGAGGTATGTGATCGAGTACAGGACGTTGTTACGTCTCTGGGAATGCTGGGCCACGAAACGTTTTTAATATATATATTCTGGTACATGTTAGAGTTTATATCACATAGTAAGAATCAAATAAAGAACTTTATTATATAAACATAAGTGTTATATAGAGTTTTGGGCCACTGAGAAAAATCGTATTTAAACACACGTAATACTAGAAAAATAATCTGCTTAAATGTATCGCCGTGGGTCGTGGACTGAAACATCGCATGAATCACTGCCTCGTCCCCAGTCGCTTGCTATCAAATAATTAATTAGGAAAAGACGAAAATTAATGGGGGAGGGCGGAATGATGGGAAGGGGAGGAGTTGCGGAGCGACTGGCAAATCCTGCATTCAAGATGGCGCCCGCTGCAATGGCGGACGAAGGATTGTCGTCCGGTTCATATTTGCATTTCCGACTTTGGAGTGGGGAAGATTAAAATATCTCGACAAGTATTTATCCCTTTAAAACGAAAACCATCATTGAAATCCTCATAAAATAACCTTTCGAACGGGGGGTCAAATGCCGTCATAAGGGACCGGTCATTATTTATGGAAGGGGGGGGGAGGGGAATTTTTTCTTTTCTAAATTTTTAAAATTGAAAGCCCC